ATCGGCGATAATACGAAGCAAAACCGATGAAACTGCGTACGTCTGACACTGACGTGGGCGTTGGCCACGAACTGACACAGTCCGTCTTCGCAGGATCGGTAGAAATCCCGAGTCGACAATGTGACCCAAGTACCTCACGGATTTACGAAAAAGGTGGCATTTGGCCGGTTTAAACTTTAATTTAGCCGATCGCATTCGCAAGAACACCCCCCTCAATCGCTGGAGGTGTTCTTCAAACGTTTTACCGAAAACAATGACATCGTCAAGGTAAATGAGGCACGTATCCCACTGCAAGCCCGACAAAACCAATTCCATAAGACGCTGAAACGTCGCCGGAGAGGAGTGAAGTCCCATGGGTAACCGGTTAAACTGAAACAGGCCCCCTGGAGTCCGAAATGCGGTCTTAGGCTTAGACTCTTCGTCGAGTGGCAACTGCCAGAATCCGGATAATAAATCAAGAGTCGAAAAGTATCGCGCACCAGACAATGCGTCGAGAGACTCGTCCATCCTGGGGAGCGGATACGCGTCGGCCACAGAGATCTTATTCAGGCGACGGAAATCGACGCAAAATCGCAGGGACCCGTCCTGCTTTTTAACGAGCACAATAGGCGCTCCCCAAGGACTGGAGGAAGGCGAAATAATGTCGGCTTCTAGCATATCGTTAACTGCCGACTGAACATGTTCCTTCTCAGCAGGACTCAGTCGGAAGGGATTTTGCCTGACCGGTGCCGCATCGCCCGTTTCAATGTGGTGGCGTAGCAGGTCCGTGCACCCAATGTCATACTTATGTTTACTGAAGACATCCGAAAATTCAATGAGCAACCCGCGCAGCGCACCCAACTGTACCGCTGATAAATCGTCAGAGTCCGCGCACAGCGAATCAACCCAATCGAGGTCCTCCTTCAATGTAACGTTTTTCGTGGGACTCGGATCCGCCTGCGCAACCAGCCTCTCCTCCGCAGGGACCCGCGCCGCGTGAGCTAGCACGGTGCCCTGCTGAATGACGGCCGGCCGCGCCCCAGCGTTTAAAACCATCACAAACGGATCCCTGTCAGCCCCCACCAAAGTGTGAGCCACCGACAAATCGAGACCTCCAACAGCCCTATTAGAAGGACCCAAAAGCATGCCCTGTTCCGAGGCCTCCTTCACCCATGGCTTCCGCAACCGGAGGGGAATTAACATTTGTGAACCCGGAGGCACGTGCACGGTCTGTGTCGCTAACGCCTGTATGGTAGCGCACGCCGTCCGAATTTCATTAGGGCTCGTCAAAAATGAAATACGGCGACCCGATGGTAGTTCAATGCAACGCTGATCAATGAGAATTTTGATGGGCATTTTTGCCAAAAAATCAGTGCCCAATAGACAAGGGACCGCCAGGGAGGACGAAACAAAAACGGGTCCCGACAATTTGATATCACCAATGCAAATGGATGCCCTAATCTGACCGATAATGCCCAACGATCCCCCGTTAGCGGCGTAAAATGGCACATCCACCGGAAGAAGCGGACGACATTGTACAGGGAGAATATTATAAATGAGATCCGATATAATAGTCGCCGATGCCCCCGTGTCCACTAACACCCTGACCTCGACCCCATCAATAGATCCGGTAACTACGGATGAACCCGCTGAGGCAGCCACTATTCTGTGCCCCAACTCCGACCATTTAATGTCTCCCCGGTCTCGGCCGAATCGCCCTCTCTGAACCGAATCCCCGAACTCTACTCGGCTCTCCCCCGCCGCAACGCGACGACCCATATGTGCCGAGTATGCGGGCCGAGCATGTGAGGTGCCGCGACTTGCCGGGGTTTGCAGGGACGACTTGGGGCCTTGGTCGTCGTCCAGCCGAGGTCCCATGGCGCGCTGACGTGGGGCGCGGCAACCGGAGGCCACGTGGCCCCGGAGGCCGCAGTTATAGCAGGTGATGACAGTCGTCGGAGATCTCGGTTGCTCCAGCTTGCGGGCCGCTCGCAGAGGCGAACGACCCCCCGATCTCCAGTCCCCCGGTCGTCCCGCGATGAACGCCTCCTCTCGTGGGCTGACGACTTGGGGCACGGTGACAACTGGGCCCGGAGTTGAGGCCACGGCAGCGTTGCAGACGACTCCCTGTTTACGTTGAAGGACCTCGTGCGCTTGTATGCTTGTGGCGACCCGTAAGGATGAAATATCGGTCTCATCGGCCGTGTTGATGGGGACCCCCAGGTCCTGCGCCAACTTGAGCAGCTGCTCCAAAACCATGGCATCTTGGCCCTCCTCGTCCATACGAGGGAACGCGGCGTCGGCGAGAGCAAGCAACGCCGTGCGGTAGGCGAGCACGGTCTCCGTGTCCGCCTTCCGTCTTGCATAAAAATGATGGCGGCACGCGGAGGGAGGACCATAGACCTTGGCCATGAGAGCCAGCGCATCTTTGAGCGTGGAGCGGTCCGACCTGCGTGCGGACGTGAAGGCCGCGAGCGCGTTGTCATCCAGCATGGCAGGCAGTGCCCGCAGTGCCGTAGCGTCGGACCAGGCGGACATTTCCTGATGCGCCAAAAATCTGCGCTGAAATTGGCTCCAATCCCCGCCTTCCGCCTTGAAGGCTGACAACGTGGGAAGGCGCTGCTGAAAAATGAAGTCGTCCTCCTCCTCGTGCTTCCTCTCTGCCGCCCCGCCGGTGTGTAAGATGGCGGCCCCATCGGCGGGTGTGTGATGGCGGTCCGCCGCGCGCGTTGGTGACGTCAGCGGGCGCGCATGGAGAACCGCTGCCACGTGGTGATGGCCGTTCCCGCCAAAAGTCGGTGCAGATGAAATGGCGGCCATCGCCAAATCGTTTTGGCGGGAATCTGCAGGGCGACCCTGCAGAACGTCGGCCGCCGTTCCCGCTCCTCCCGACGAGCTGATCTCCGCCAAGATGGACGCGGCGGCGAGCAGCAGCTCCGCCAGACGGGAGTGTGCTTCGCGAAGCACGGCGTCAGTCCCCCGTGGCTCGTCCGGCGCCGTCGGCGGATCCTGCCCCGTGGACAACTCCTCTTCCTCACCCCCCGATGCCAGTTGACCCGCGTCGTCGAGGTTGTCCCCGTGGTCAATCCCGTGGGTCCGACGGTTCCTCCTTGTATCCATGCTTGGAAGACCGTTTCACTTCTGACGCCAGTTGAAGTATGGGAATTGACGGCAGGAACTTCTTGACGGGAACACACTTTTTATTAAATCTTTACGTGTCAAAATACAACGTGTAGTCTCCTTTCTTCCGACTTCACACTCCACTACTCTCGTGTAAACTCTAGGCCTCTGGCTACACACGATACCCTTCACTCGTGTAGACCCTACGCCTCTGGCTACACAATACACTCGACTCGTGTAGACCCTATGTCCCTGGCTACACAATACACTCGACTCGTGTAGACCCTATGTCCCTGGCTACACACACTGCATTCGGCTCGTGTAGACCTTATGCCTATGGCTACACACACTACACTCGCCTCTGGGTTACACAGAGTCCCGGTCCCGTTAGGACAGCGGGACTAGGTACCGCAGGGCCCTAGGTCTTCATCCCCGTCTTCATTCTTCGCTGGTTACACACTGCCCTCACGCCTGTGTGCATCCCCTTTTATAGCCCCTGCTCACGAGAGGCGGAGCTGATGCGTACTTCAGCGTGAGCATCGCTCCTTAATGAACCAATCACGACGCACTCTCTCTACGATCCGTTTTCCCCAGCGCGTGTTAACACTCCTCCACCAATCACACCGCGCTGCCACCCGATCACTCCCTCTCAGCACGTCACCGGTCCACAGCCAATCAGTACCCCGTAACCCACGACCCCGCGCTGACCCCTGATCCTCCGTCAGCGCACGTCACCACCTACACAGCCAATCATTACGCGCTGGCATACGATCTCTAATTCCAGCGCGTATCACCTCTACATAAGTAGTACTAATCACATACCTGCATTTCCCATATCCCCTCCCTTGGATGCTAATCCTGCATAATGCACGGACATAAGTAGTACTAATCAGATACCTGCAATTACCATAAATATGCTAAATTCCTCTTGATATGCAAATTATTTTATCAAGGCGCCCTTTCCCCCCCCCCCCCCTTCCAACCCAGCTTATATATATATATATATATGCTCCAAGCACATGTGCTGTTTCATTCAGACGCTGTCGCCTCGACAGACCTGGTTTCACCTGAGGACGGATACTTGCGTTGTGGCCGAAACGTCGTGAGAATTATTTTATTATGTTTTATTTTTATTATTTTATTACTTCCCTTCTACGTGACTTTACCGAAAGAACCAAGAAGGTAACATGGTTAACCAATAGGGAGCCATCCCTCGACCGCACCCGGGCATCGATCAGCCTCACATTGCATCTGCACCAGATGGAGATTCCACCAGTCAGCCATGGAAGGCTTCTCGAACTACGTGATTGAAAAATATGTTGAATAATGTGGGAGCCACAGGACATCCCTGCCGCACCCCAAGGTGAACGGAATGGCTCCAACTCCCGGCCACGTAGCTTTACCTGGGCTTTCCCACCATCATGAATGTTCATAATGATTGTGAGCAGAGAGTCAGAGACTATTAAAGCACGAAGAACAACCCAGAGCCCAGGCCTATTGATAGTATCATAGGCCTTGACCAGGTAAATAAAGCAGATGTAGGTTTTACATTTTGACTTAAAACTTTCGTGACTGCAGGAATTCATATTCTTTGGTTCTATTGATAAAGTCACGTAGATAAAAAATAAGAAAAAAAAATACAATTATTTTTTTCTACGCCTGATGACGACCGCTTTTATTGCGATCGAAACGTCGTGAGTTTTAGTTTTTTCATAGTTTTTATTAATAATTATTTTATTTTCTATCTACGTGACTTTACCGAAAGAACCAAAGGAGATGTAGGTTTTGTTGGAATTCTCTACACCTCTGCTGTTGCAAACAGACAGAAAATATGGCATTGGTACAGGACCGGTGTGATCTCTTGTGTGTTTTTAAGTTGAATCACTATCCCCCAGAACATCGATGTATTTGCTTTAATAGGTTGTTGAGACAGAGACAAAAACAGATTTACGTAGGTTGATACTCGATATTGCATTTCTCCATCATTATTAAGCATGAGTTGTTCCTTAATACGATGACTTTCCTGTTCTCGTTATGTTAATTTCATGCTATCTTTTATCTATCTACGTATGTACGTTGAACTTCTTTCGCGCCGTACGCAGCCAACCGTGCTAAATCTATACGCATGCACACATACTTCCTCTGAACCGATGGCCTGTACAAGCAGTTTCAAAGACATTGTGCATATATTATGAGGATGTTTGTTGGCATTTTTTGCCACAAGTATGCGTGGTAAGGTGTCTATTTGGTGTTTTAACATCTTAACACACCTGTAATATTACCAGAAAGGATATTATTATTATTTTTCATCAAAACATATTTCGTTTGCACCGCGCGAACTTCGCGGAGTCTCGTTCGAAAGCGAGCGAGCACAACAAAACGCTTCCTTCACGATGCCTGTCGGGGGTCTTCATTTTGCCACCTCCCGTGCGTGGGTCTCCGCATGACGCTTCAGGACGGATCGGTAGGCGAACCCCTTGCCACACACAGCGCACGCGTGCGGCCTCTCGCCCGTGTGGGTCACAGCGTGGCTCTTGAGCACCGACGCGTACGCGAAGCCCTTGCCGCACACGGTGCACGCGTGCGGCCTCTCGCCGGTGTGCGACCTCACGTGGCACACCAGGTTCACCTGCTTGATGAACCCCTTGCCGCAGAAGGAGCACCTGTAGGGGCGCTCGCCTGTGTGCGTCATCATGTGGTCCTTGAGGAACTTGGGCAGGGCAAAGGCCCTGTCGCACACGGGGCACACGTGGGGCCTCTCTCCCGTGTGCGTCCTCGCGTGCCTCTGCAGGGCCGACGAGCGTCTGAAGGCCTTGCCGCAGATGTGGCATGCGTGCGGCCTCTCACCCGTGTGGATCCTCGCGTGGAGCATGAGGCCCGACGGGTCCGCGAAGGCCTTGCCGCACACGATGCACGTGTGCGGCCTCTCGCCCGTGTGTGTCATCGCATGGTTCCTGAAGTCCTTGGAGAAGATGAAGCCCTTGCCACAGACGGGGCACACGTGCGGCCTCTCGCCCGTGTGGGTCTTCGTGTGGTCCCTGAGCACTCTCAGGAGCGTGAAGGCCTTGTCGCACACGGAGCACGCGTATGGTCTCTCGCCGGTGTGCATCCTCGCGTGGTTCCGAAGGGCCGATAACTGGATGAAGCTCTTCCCGCACGCCGAGCACTTGTGCGGCCTCTCGCCGGTGTGCGTCATCATGTGATCCTTGAGGACCTTGGAGACTCTGAAACCTCGGCCGCACACGGTGCACCGGTACGGCCTCTCGCTTGTGTGCGTCTGGGCGTGCTGCTTCAGGGACGCGGCCCGCGCAAAGCCCTTCCCGCACTCGGTGCACTGGTGGGGCCGTTCCTCCGCGTGCACCCAAGCGTGGCTCTTGAGGGCCGATGGGCGCACGAAGCCCCGAGCGCACACGGCGCACCGGTGCGGCTTCTCCCTCGCGTGGATCTTCCGGTGGCGCCCCAAGCCCTTGGCGGTGGTGAACTCCTTCCCACACTCGGGGCAGACGTGCGCGGGCGACGTCGCTTGCGTGGGCGACAGTGCTTGTGCGGGCATCCCTCCCGCGCCTGCCGGGCTCCGACGCGACCCGTCCAATGCCCGGCGCGTCTCCGTGTCGCCTTCGCACTCCGGATTGCACGGAAAAAGTTCCCACTGCCGCTGGCTCTCGCTGCTGCTGCTGGTGGTGGTCTGTGCAGAGTGGAGCTGCATCCTGGTCTGGTGGTCGTAGTAGTTGAAAAACCCCTTACGCGAATTTTCATTCCGGCGTCTTGCAAGTCCACACTCTGCCATTGTTCCTGCAATAGGGGGGAGAACACAAAGAAGGCAACGTTTGAAAACTCTGTTGCAGTTTCATGCATACGTAGTCGTGAGTAGTTGAGCTTTCGCAACCAATGTTATCCATGAGAGGTTTTTGGGTTAGATCGTGTAAGTATAAATGTGTCTTTAAACCCGCCACCACCACACGACATGGCCAATTTAGTTAAGGGGTTGTCACATAAACAAAAAGTGGCCAAATAGTTTACTAGTTCAGCAGTAACCAGTTGTTGTGTTGGAGAGTAAACACACAACACACATTTACAATTCGAGTAGACATTACGTTTCGTTGGTATGTACAACCAGCCCCATCAGGCGACAGCCATAATTGCATTTTGAGATGTTCATGATACTGGACTATTTAAATTAAGACAGCCCTTACCAGTTTCACACACACACACACCGATTAAAAGTATAGAGTACTTACCTGTACAAACGGAGAGGCAATCAGACACATGCGTGAGCATTATGTGGACTTCAGAGCCGACGAGCAACATGGCTCCCTATTGGCTGAAACGGCACACCTAAGAATAAGCTCACTCACCATTGATGGAGGGAGACAAATTACGTCAGACATACCTCCCGACGCGGAATGTGCGCGCAGCAAATGGGAGATGAGAAGAGGTTGTGACGAGGGACGGGAGAAGAGAATTGATTGGATGGAGAGAAACGGGAGAGAAAGTGCGGGGAAAAAGAAAAAGAGAAGAGGATCAGGGAAGGCTCGGGGCGCTTTTGATGGTGGAAGTTGACATGAACGCACGCTGCAGAAGATAATAACATCTTCTCACACCTTTTCTACAACCAACGTGTTGGAGTCATTACAATAGTATTAGCAGGCAACACGTAACATTTCTTAACCTTAGGGCGCCAGGGTGGCGAGATGTTAACTACCTTGCTAAGTATACAGGAGGGCGTGGGTTCGATCCCGACCCTGAGTTCTGCTGTATTTTTGGAGTTTGCGTCTCCCTCCCTGTGGTCACATGGATTTTTCTCCGGGTCCTCCGGTTTTTCCCTTCACATTTATAATCAACATCAGTACAAGTTTAGAGTATTTGGCTGCCGCTATAAATTTCCGCGTGATGATGATGAAATCACCCACTTGGCTGCGCTGCTATCATTACGTGTGATGGCCAGGTCGCTTCTGAAAAAAGTGCTACACACCTCAGTGGCGCCATACACCTGGTAATATTAAAGAAAGTTTAGTTTAGTTTAATTTGAATTCAGTGCTGACATGCCATGGTCATTCAAAGTGCCTTTACAACTAAACATGTTGCCGCAAGACACCGATTAGCGTGATTGGCTATGTACAGGGTGATAAGAAGTTCAACATAAGTACACACGTATGTACGGACAAAACACAAATACATTACGGCACGATGTTAAATAGCGCAGTGTCTAAGCGCAACCCCATGTCAAGAAGCTGTACAAAAACGGTGACCCGATTTTATTTTGCAGAGTAGGTTGCAGTCAACCTTGGGGCAAATAAAAAAAGGTAATGTATGTGTGTGTATGTAAAGTAAGGTCTCAGAGTATGCGGCGGGGGTTAGGTTCGTGTGTACCTGCACGCAAGCGCGAATTCGCGTAAGTTGTGGTTCGCCTATACGAGTGTAGATATACATTTTATATATATACTACTATGTTACTATATACTACTATACAACTATATACTACTAGCTTCTTACTGGTAGGAACCTCTTGGTTACACCAGCCCACAGGGGATTGTGTCCGTCGTGCAGGGAGGGGCTGGGTGGGGAGGGAGGGGCTGGGTGGGGAGGGGAGGGTGGGGAGGGGCTGGGTGGGGATGGTGGGGAGGGGCTGGGGAGGGGCTGGGTGGGGAGGGTGGGGCTGGGTGAGGGGTGGGGCTGGGTGGGGAGGGGCTGGTCACCCCGTGGTGCCCTTATAAAACTCAACGTTTAACCTACTCACGCCGGCTTGTGCCCGCCCTCACAGTTGGGCATATTTGCGGAATACACCACGCCGCCGTTGACCCTGGCCATTGACTGAGCAACCCAACGTTCCTACCAGCTCTCTCCGCAGTAATGTGTTGCCCGTCCAAGGACGGTTGTATATTGCAGTAAATCTCAAATATTCAATAGAAATTTTATGTGTCTTTCAGTAAAGCCACGTAGATAGAAAATAATAAAAATATCACGACGTTTCGATCTCAACACAAGCAATTGCTAGAAGGAAAAAAATAGCATTCCAGAGTTTCCTGAACTGTTCCGTGCTCGGAGCAACACACACACACTTGCTTTGAGGCCACCAACACAGAGACGTCCACACAAGGCTCCCGCTGCTCCAGTTGGCCATGTGCTCTCGCTCACTCTCTGTGGCCGACGTGAGCGGAACTGTTAAACAAGCGAATGCTCACAAAGCCTGCCGGCCCAGATGGAGAAGCCCGGCCGGCATCCTGGGAGCATGCGCGGATATTTTCAACCCCCTGTTCCCCAGGTCTGTTATTCCCCATGTGGTCAAGATGACCACCATTGTTCCAGTTCCGTAAGTATAACAAAGGTGACTTGTCTAAATGATTACCGCCCAGTAGCACTCATGTCTGTCATCGTGAAGTGCTTTCAGGAGGCTGATCATGGACCACATCAACTCCAACGAACTAGACACTCTAGACCCACTCCAATTTGCATACCGCTCCAACAGATCCACGGATGATGCCGTCTCCATTGCACTGCACACTACTCTACCACACCTGGACAAGAGGAACAACTCACATGTGAGGATGTGATGAACTTACTTACAGCTCAGCATTTAGACACCGTTGTTCCCTCCAAGTTTGTCACCACGCTCAGGGTGCCTGGGTCTGAACACCTCCCTCTGCAACTGGATCTTCGACTTTGTGACGGCCAGACCACCCAGCTTGTGAAGATAGCAGCAACACCTCCTCCACACTGACTCTCAACACCGAATCTCCCCCCCCCCAAGGCTGTGAGCTCAGTCCACACCCCCTGATGTACTCCCTGTTCACCCACGACTGTGTGCCCCGGCGTGACACCAACTCCATCAGAGTTTGCTGACGGCACCACCCATGGTAGGCCCTGATCGCCAACAACGATGGGACAGCCTACGGGGAGGAGGAAAGAAGAGACTTGGCAGTGTGGCGCCAAGCTAACAACCCTTCTCTCCCGTCAACATCAGCAAAACAAAGGAGCTTATTGTTGACTACAGGAGTAGATCATCAGCAGCTTTAAGTTCTTTGGTGTCCCTATCAAAGACCTGACATGGACCCACAACACCGGCACAGGTTGTCAAGAAGGCATGCGCACCAGAGCCTCCTCTTCCCCCCTCAGGAGGCCGAAGAAGTTCGGCATGGCCCTTCCGATACTCGCTGACTTCTACAGATGCACCATCGGGAGCATCTTGCTGACTGGCTACATCATGGCTTGCTGCTACGGTCAGCCGCCACTGCCCTCTACAGCGGGGTGGTGGCGAAGACTGCCCGGTCCATCTCTGGTGATCGTGCTCCCAACCACACATGGCATTTAGACTGGGGCGGTGCCAAGGAAGGCCCCCGCAACATCATTAAAGGCTCCAGCCACCCCCATCCACCCCCAGCCACGGACCGTTCTCTCCCTTGCCGTCAGGCAGACGGTACCGGAACTTTCAGCCAACCGCTACGCTAGTGCACACTTCACACACAGACACACATCACACTGTTTTCACTGACTCTCTGCACCTTACCACACAACACACACACGCCTACACGACCACCAAGACTGTTGCTACTATATTTTACGATATATTCCACTGCTCAATCAAAGCACTCTATTCTCTCCACTTATCCCAATTTATCCCTCTTCCCCCGCATAGTGTAAATGGTATCTACCCTGAATATGTCTATCTGACCATGTTATATTTCTCACCATGGCTTTTGTTATTCAGTGTTATTTTTTTTTATAGCTGCCACACCATTTGAGAGGAGAGCTTGTGCGTAAGCATGTCATTGTACTGTGTTACAATTCCCTGGATCCTGTTCATATGAAAATAAACTTTGATTTGTATAGTGTATTGTATACAGTGAGGGAAAAAAGTATTTGATCCCCTGCTGATTTTGTACGTTTGCCCACTGGCAAAGAAATGATCAGTCTATAATTGTAATGGTAGGTTTATTTGAACAGTGAGAGACAGATTAACAACACAAAAATCCAGAAAAACGCATGTCAAAAATGTTATAAATTGATTTGCATTTTAATGAGGGAAATAAGTATTTGACCCCTCTGCAAAACATGACTTAGTACTTGGTGGCAAAACCCTTGTTGGCAATCACAGAGGTCAGACGTTTCTTGTAGTTGGCCACCAGGTTTGCACACATCTCAGGATGGATTTTGTCCCACTCCTCTTTGCAGATCTTCTCCAAGTCATTAAGGTTTCGAGGCTGACGATTGGCAACTGGAACCTTCAGCTCCCTCCACAGATTTTCTATGGGTTTAAGGTCTGGAGACTGGCTAGGCCACCCCAGGACCTTAATGTGCTTCTTCTTGAGCCACTCCTTTGTTGCCTTGGCCGTGTGTTTTAGGTCAGTCATGCTGGAATACCCATCCACGACCCATTTTCAATGCCCTGGCTGAGGAAAGGAGGTTCTCACCCAAGATTTGATGGTACATGGGCCCGTCCATCGTCCCTTTGATGTGGTGAAGTTGTCCTGTCGCCTTAGCAGAAAAACACCCCCAAAGCATAATGTTTCCACCTCCATGTTTGACGGTGGGGATGGTGTTCTTGGGGTCATAGGCAGCATTCCTCCTCCTCCAAACACGGCGAGTTGAGTTGATGCCAAAGAGCTCCATTTTGGTCTCATCTGACCACAACACTTTCACCCAGTTGTCCTCTGAATCCTTCATATGTTCATTGGCAAACTTCAGACGGGCATGTATATGTGCTTTCTTGAGCAGGGGGACCTTGCGGGCGCTGCAGGATTTCAGTCCTTCACGGCGTAGTGTGTTACTAATCTCAGCTCGTTACTTGTATAAAAGACACCTGGGAGCCAGAAATCTTTCTGATTGAGGGGGTCAAATACTTATTTCCCTCATTAAAATGCAAATTAATTTATAACATTTTTGACATGCATTTTTCTGGATTTTGTTGTTATTCTGTCTCTCACTGTTCAAATAAATCTACCATTAAAATTATAGACTGATAATTTATTTGTCAGTGGGTAAACGTACAAAATCAGCAGGGGATCAAATACTTTTTTCCCTCACTGTAGTAGTGTAGTGTATAGTATACTGGAAAGTAGTGTAGTGTATAGTGTGTAGTGTACTGTATAGCAGTGTAGTATATCGTAGGGTAGTGTGTAGTAGTGTATAGGTTAGTAGTGTAGTGCACAGTGTATAGTGTTTGGTGTAGTGTTTAGGAGTGTAGTGTATACATGATGATTTTAAAAGTGCATTGAGGCTGGCGGGTCCCAACTTGCCCGTAACGACCCCACGCGGGATGTGTCAGCTCCGTCGCCACCCCTCCCTACCGTCGTCGTCCTCCACTTCCACCTCAATCTCGGCCACATCTGACGAGCCCGCGGCCGCGGCCCCTCCTTGGTCTACCCGCGATGGCCTTGACCCTCCGGCCTTCTCCCGGGAACCGCCGTGGCTGACCGCCGGGGCCTGGCGGTCGCCGCCCGAACCGCTGAGGTCCCGCCGCTCGACCTTCGCAACGTACGACGGTTGACTTCCACGGGACGGTCGGTGCGCCGCTCGAAAGCGTGAATGTTTTGCTTCGTCTTTTTCGTCGTCTTCTTCGTCGTCCTCTTCTTCGCCCTTTATCCGAATGTCACCCGCTCCCTGCACTGGGGGTGAAAGGTCGCTGAAACCGATGCGAGCGTTTAACTAAAAAATAAAATCAAAACGCGTCGAGGCCTCTGGGTTTAGTCTTCCACCCCGACGGAAATTATGTCGATGGTTGTGCTGTGACGTACGGCATGTACGTGCGTGTGTGTGCTAAACTTCTTCCGCAGCACCGTACCTAGCCAACCGTGCTAATTGGAGGTGTGGGGAGGAAGGACTACAAACTAAACACAACAACTAGAAGCAGTTCTACGGAAATTAGTTCTCAATATAGTATAGTGATGTAGTGTACAGTAGTGTATAGTGTAGTGCATAGTGTAGTGTATAGTGTAGTAAAGAGTAGTGTAGTATATAGAAGTGTAGTATGTAGTAGTCAAGTGTATAGTGTAATGCATAGTGTAGTGTATAATCGTGTTGTGACAACAAACTAGGGGTGCTGATGGGCGGCTGTTTGCGAAGGGTTGTCAAGAGATGACACTTACTGCCATCACCATCACCATCACTGCCATCGTCATCATCATCTTCCCTCTCCACTTTCACCTTGGGCAACATCTTCCTCCAAGCCTCCTCCTCCTCGTATTCTTGCTTAATGAATGCCTCCACGGGCAGAGAAGGGTCCACCACCTCCTCCTCCTGCTCCTGCACATCGTCTGTACCAAGTGAAAGACATCAGCAGAGAGCGAGAGGAAGACTCAAGGCAATGGTGCCGTTGTTGCTGTCGCTGCTGCTGCTGTTGGTGCTGCTGCTCGGACTGCAGTGTCAAAAGGAGCAAACGCAGAGACATTTCGCAATACAGAAACTATTTTATTTTATTTGATTGCGAGCTCATGTAGATGCAGAGCAGCAATGACTACAACTTCAGGTGGTCATGCCAGCAGATAACCGCATTAGGAGCAGCGGAGCAGTGTATCATCATCGCTGTGATGTCTATTAGTCTATGGATCTATGTCTTTCTATGGGTTTCTATGAGTCTATGGATTCTAGATTTGAAGCTTTCGTGACTGCAATGATTCATATTCTTAGGTTTTTTCGGTAAAGTCACGTAGGTAAAAAACATAAAAAAGTAAAATAAAATAAAATAAAAATCACGACGTTTCGGAGACAAGACAAGCTTCCGTCTTCAGGTGGTACCGTCACAGCCACGACAGCTGTATCAAGTAAATGAGAGATTGCAGAAGCTACCACTCCGTTTATATAATGGTTGGAGAAGGTGGTGGAGCAAGGGCCGCATACTTTTATTAATATTGTAAGGTGAGGCTTAAGACTAAGAATAGACTGCATAACAAAGGCTGAGCCTTTTTTATGGAGAGGTGCGGTTTGTGACTCAACCTGTAACAGGGAGACCACCACTATACATGGTAAAACTGTGATGGTTGTCTGTCAAATAAGATTGGCAAATAAGTGTAGTTAAATCTTTTTTGCATGGTTAATCACATCTTTCGAATGATTACTCAGTTTGTAACCGTCATCACGGTTGAAATTATGTCTGTGTTTGTGTAGTGACATAAGAAGGGAGGGGCTTCTGGGGGCTCTGGGTTCCCGGGCGGGTCCAGACGCTTAAGCCTCTGGGCGCCAGGCGCTGGGTTCCCAGGGGGTCCAGACGCTTAAGCCTCTGGGCGCCAGGCGTTGGGTTCCCAGGGGGTCCAGACGCTTAAGCCTCTGGGCGCCGCCAACGGGGGGGGGCTGTGTGTGCTCTGTGGGATGTCTGGTGGCGCACACGGCCCCACCCCTCGTTGGACCAGGCATAAAAGGAGAGCTCCCTGGACGATCGGGGCCCAGTTGTAACTCAAGACCCAAGACCCACGACCAGCCATCTGAAGACCCTGGGACGCTGTGAGAGCGAGTGGTGGGACTCTGGAACTCCCGACTCTACGACCTTGTGAGGGCGAGTTCCGGAGCGTAGCCAGAGTAGAGTATCTAGGCTGTGTAGCTAGGCTGTGTACCTAGGCTGTAACAGAGTATCAGGACTGTTGGAGAGTTGGACTGTTGGAGTGTTGTATTGTAATAAAGAAGTTACCTCTACAAGTGTCTCCGGAACCCGTTACATTTGTATATTTGTACTAGCTTTACTACCCGGCTTCGCCCGGGAACTTGGATTCACCACGCCCGGCCGCCTTTGTCTCCCCAGTGACGATGTTCACACACGACACCAGTTACTCGTTTGAGGCTGAGTCGACCTAGGGGAGGCCCAGGTCCGGTTCAAATAATCGTCACCGGTGGTGGCCGTGAGTGGGAATCGAACTCGGGTCGCCGGGTTAGTAGCGTGGCGCGCTAAGCACGACACTACAATGCGTTACGCTTCCGTTGTAGGATTTGTGTGAGGCGCGCCGATCCGCTGTAGGGTTTTAGTGAGGCGCGCCGATCCGTTGTAGGGTTTGTGTGAGGCGTGCCGATCTGTTGTAGGGTTTTAGTGAGGCGCGCCGATCCGTTGTAGGGTTTTAGTGATGCGCACCGATCCGTTGTAGGGTTTTAGTGAGGCGCGCCGATCCGTTGTAGGGTTTTAGTGAGGCGCGCCGATCCCCCGCGATACAATAATACTGTGTAATCGCTATAATTTTATGATTTACCGAGCCTATAATAGTAATGTCACACATTGTGGTGGCGGGGGAGTGAAGAGGACGTGTAACTTTGATGAATTTACCTCAGAGTCGCGTGGTGGGTGTCGAGGCCTAGCACCGTGCAGAGCCTCCGGCCTCGCCTGATTTTCCCACCCGGTTGAGGCTGGGTACGGGTGCGGTCCCCCCCCCCCCCGCGCTACAATAATACTGTCTAATCGCTATAATTTAATAATCGACCGACCCTATAATAGTAATTGCACACATTGTGGTGGGGGGGGGGAGTGAAGAGGACGTGAAACTTTGATGAATTTACCTCAGAGTCGCGTGTTAATGCGTGCGCCTATTTTTAATGGGAATAAAAAATGGCGTCCACCCCTTGGCGAAGGCGTCGCTACCCGTTGCCAGGGGCAACCGCCGTCCAATGAAAGCGGCGAAGGCGTCGCTACCCGTTGCCAGGGGCAACCGCCGTCCAATGAAAGTGCGTATGGTCCGGCGACACACAGACACACAGACAGACAGACAGATTCACGATTTTATATATATAGATGGATTCGTGTACAAACCTTTGATGGTAGGCAGGAGGTTTGCAGAGAACCTTGGTCTCAGAAAATACAATTTCATGAGAGCCCACCGAGTTGTAGCAATGATCGGCAACGGCCGAAAAATCAGTTCTGCCGTGTTTCAGATCTGACTTGTGCTCGCGGACACGATCAGAAACATGAAGTTTCGTTTCTCCAATGTAGCAATCACCAAAAATGCAACTCAATTTGTAGACTCCAGGATACTGTAAGTCAGGAACGACATCCTTCACAGATTATGCACTGTACTGAATCGGACTTATGTTTGTTTAGAATTTTGGAGATCTTTTTGGTCACGCCTGCTATGTATGGCAACGTGATAGTTTTGGTCGGAGTTTCATGTGGCTGTTTCTGTATGGTGAGAGAAACAGATTGGCGGATAGTGCAGTCAGAGTATCCGTTCATCCTGAGGGCCCGATGTACATGTCTTAATTCACCGGCCAGGTGGTGTTGGTCAGAAATACCATGGGCTCTGTGGTATAGCGTTTTGATGAGAGAATTCTTTTGAGATGGGTGGTGGTGGGAATCCGGTTTCAAGTAGGAATCTGTGTGGGTGGCTTTCCTGTAGACAAAATGTCCCAAGGATCCGTCAGGCCTCCTCTCAAACAGAATATCCAAGAATGGTAGTTTACCGTCTTTCTCCACTTCCATGGTGAATCTGATGGATGGGTGTCTAGAATTGATGTGGTCCAAGAAGTGGTTCAATGCTGGGAGGCCATGTGGCCAGATGACGAAAGTGTCGTCCACATACCTCTTCCACAAGGAAGGACGCAGGGTGGATGTCTGGATGGCGTCTGATTCAAACTTTTCCATGAACTACACTTATTTGCCAATCTTATTTGACAGACAACCATCACAGTTTTACCATGTCTCGTGGTGGTCTCCCTGTTACAGGTTGAGTCACAAACCGCACCTCTCCATAACAAAGGCTCAGCCTTTGTTATGCAGTCTATTCTTAGTCTTAAGCCTCACCTTACCATATTAATAAAAGTATGCGGCCCTTGCTCCACCACCTTCTCCAACCATTATATAAACGGAGTGGTAGCTTCTGCAATCTCTGATTTACTTGATACAGCTGTCGTGGCTGTGACGGTACCACCTGAAGACGGAAGCTTGTCTTGCCTCCGAAACGTCGTGATTTTTATTTTATTTTACTTTTTTATGTTTTTTACCTACGTGACTTTACCGAAAAAACCTAAGAATATGAGTCTATGGATCTCTATGGGTCTCTAAGCCTGGGTCTATGCGAGTCTCTGAGTCTGAGTCTTCACGGATGTCTGTGAGTCAATATGGGTCTCCGAGTCTCTGTGTGTCTCTATGAGTCGCCGAATCTCTGTGCATCTCTATGGGTCTCTATGCGTTTCTATGAGTCTGGATCTCTATGAGTTGCTGTGTGTCTCTATGAGTCGCCGAATATCTGTGCATCTCTATGGATCTCTATGGGTATCTATGACTCTCTTTATCTTCCGTACGGCTGCTGATGTAGATGCAGAGCAACGACACAATTTCACAATCAGGTGATCAAGCCCAGACTACAACTAGAATCAGGAGCAAGCAGAGTAGTGTATCATCATAATCACCGTAATTTCTTCTTACTATTTGTGGATAGGGCAATGTTATTTTTTGTATTTTACCAGGTGTAAGGCCCCATTGAGCTGTGTAGCTCTTTTATTTTATGAGCGACAAATGATAGTCTATGGGTGGCAGTGCTGATTATATGGGTGGCAGTGCTGAGTCTATGGGTGGCAGTGCTGATTCTATTGGTGGCAGTGCTGAGTCAAGGGGTGGCAGTGCTGAGTCTATAGGTGGCAGTGCTGATTGTATGGGCAGTGCTGAGTCTATTGTGCAGTATTGAGTCTATGGGTGGAAGTTCTGATACTATGGGCAGTGCTGAGTCTATGGTGCAGTGTGGAGTCTATGGGTAGCAGTGTTGAATGTATGGGTGGTAGTGCTGATTGTATGGGCAGTGCCGAGTCTATGGAGCAGTGCTGAGTCTATGGGTGGCAGTGCTCAGTCTATGGGTGGCAGTGTTCATTCTATGGGTATCAGTCCTGAGTCTATGGGTAGCAGTGCTCAGTTTCTGGGTGGCAGTGCTGATACTATGGGCAGTGCTGAGTCTATGGTGCAGTTTTGAGTCTATGGTTGGCAGTGCTGAGTCTATGGGTGGCAGTGCTGAGTCTATGGTGCAGTGTTGAGTCTATGGGTAGCAAGTGTTGAATGTATGGGTGGTAGTGCTGAGTCTATGGGTGGCAGTGCTCAGTCTATGGGTGGCAGCGCTGATTGTACTGGCAGTGCGAAGTCTATGGTGCAGTGCTGAGTCTATGGGTGGCAGTGCTGATTGTATGGGCAGTGCCGAGTCTATGGAGCAGTGCTGAGTCTATGGGTGGCAGTGCTCAGTCTATGGGTGGCAGTGTTCAGTCTATGGGTATCAGTCCTGAGTCTATGGGTAGCAGTGCTCAGTTTCTGGGTGGCAGTGCTGATACTATGGGCAGTGCTGAGTCTATGGTGCAGTTT